GCAGTACCCGCCGGGGGAAGCAGAGGAAGAGGAAGACCTCCACTCCGTTGGAAGGACCAAGTGGAGAAGGACCTGGCTTCACTTGGAGTATCTAATTGGCGCCACGTAGCGAAAAGAAGAATCGACTGGCGCGCTGTTGTTAACTCGGCTATAATCGCGTAAGCGGTGTCTACGCCAATCAAGAAGAAGAAGATATTCATGTTTATCAATATTATTACAGTGTATGTCATACTGATAGATTTTATAACTGAAAACTGACTACAGCTTATACCAAAATACTGTAAACACTTTGGGTTTAAAGGCTTCATTCAGATTTACATCTCAGTCGGCAGCAAGTAAAGCCTTTGTCTTTGGAATATGAATATTCTCAGGCATATAAAAGAAGCAAAAAAATATCTTTCATGGCCCAAAGGTATTTTTGAATAATCAAAGAATTGAATTGAATCTGCAAACACTCGATACCAAACTACTTAAAGCACAAAGGTCTAGCGGATTGACGGGCATAAAAATAAATAAATATTACATATGTACATATGAAGATACTAAAGTCTGGCAAGTCTTATCAACAGACGTGCATGCGCATATATTTATAGATTCGTACACATGTAGGTCCACGGAGTGCTCAGAAAAGGAGCTGTCAAGGACAATGACAATAAAAGCTTAAATAATAAAAGTAAACAATAATCATAAAAAATAAATAAAATGCGGCAATAAACACATATTTGCTTATATATACACAAGTATTGGCAAATATGGTCTGAATTGCGTCGACGTTGGTTGACACAGGACCGGCGCTGGCAGGCACTTCCTCAAGTGTTAAGCCAACAGTGACAGAGAGTGCACAGCGCGCGTTATAAAACAGTTAACGGCAAAGAGTTTAAGTAACGTCATGACAAGTAGCGAGTGGCTCTGAGGGCGCTGCGGGCCAGTGGTAGGAGGTCAGCGACGAACTTATCACACTAGACTCACTGCGTTTAAGGCTGAATTGTGGCGACATATGAGCACACTTGAACTTTTTATGCGTTATTTGTGTGAAGCACACGAGGTATACTCTTCCAAATGCCAGTATGATGCGCACAGTTATGCATCCATAGGCGGACGCGCTGTTAACCAAAAGGGTTGGCTGCCGTTGGCAACCGCACAAAGCGATTTACTGGCAACAAGACTGTTGACAAAACAATCATCACAATGACTGAGAGGCAGGGTCAGCGACAGTTGGTCACTAAATACTACATTCCCCCGGTTAACATTGGCAGCTGTCGCATTCGATAAACGTATGAGTGATTTCAATGGAAGAAGGAGCTCTTAAATTTTATTTTTCGCGAAACATTAGCATTCGAGCATTGACTTTAAGGCTAGTTTATGAGCTTCTTAAATTGAAGATATATTTGTAGATAGCGAAAAATAGTTCGATAAAGAGAGGGAGAGAGAAAGGAGAGATCGAGGGAGCCAAAGTAAGGGAGAATGGAATGCAGGAGAGTTAGAAAAAGAGAGCAAATTATCGCTTATCGCTGAAATACAAATTGAACGATCGGAATAAAGAACTTGTGTGGAAAGCTTTGTCATTTACCTTCAAAAAATCTTGGCATAGATTTTCATCTAAAGCAATGGTGAAATCTCCGACGAAATTGTCACATCGAATCACTACAAATGTATAGCAACCGTACAAGAAACTCCTTGATGGAGTTTGAGGAAGCTGCTGCACGAAAGAAGGAAGAAGCCAAAATAGAGCAGTTGCAGTCAGTAGAAGACGACTATATGGGTTTCGATATCAACGCTGACCAATCGAAATAATTTGTGAAGGATATTATGGCTTTGGTGCCTTTCTGGTTTTTGTCTATAATTGATGACGCCAGTCTACTGAGCGCCATTCACTTGAGAGTGGCCAGAAATGATTACTTTACATATGACCCAATGAAAACAAAGAAGAAGTCTGCTGCGTGGATCCCAGCGATTTGGTTTGTTCGATTGACCACTCGCTTAGGTTTTCCAGAATCCATTTAAATATATTTTTACAAGAATTGAAAGACAATTTCATATGTTTCGCTAACAGACACAATAAAAACTCTTTGAATGAAGCGCTCAATTTAGAGATAATATCCAAAAATAATACTTTCGAACTAGTTTACTTTAAAATAGAAACTATAATATATACTTTACTAGATTTATTATTTCCAACAACACAAATCCAAAATTACTGCACAAAACCCTTCAAATAATCACAAGATATACATTCTCATATATCAATTTCAACAGACAGCCACGCTGGAAGTGGTGATACCACCAGATATTGTCAATGAGGAGACATCCGGTGACATGATGGTGCCCGAAGGTGGCTCAGCGAAGTTGGTGTGTCGAGCGCGTGGTCATCCGAAGCCTAAAATCACTTGGCGGCGAGAGGATGGACGAGAGATCATCGCACGCAATGGCGCACATCAGAAGACCAAAGGTAAACAGAGAATTATACAAACATTTTTGTACTATATACAATAAATACTTATTTTGAATTATTTTTTATATGGCATACTCAATTTTGCAACTATGAACTCATAAATACTATAATTATCGTTATAGCTTTGGCCGTTGAAGGCGAAATGCTGGCGCTGACCAAGGTGACACGTAGCGAAATGGGCGCCTACATGTGCATCGCCTCGAATGGTGTGCCGCCGTCAGTGAGCAAACGCATGAAACTACAAGTGCATTGTAAGTGAACAATTAAACATTTTTATTGCAATATTTTGTAATTCCCAACAAAGGCTAGTGGATTATATTTGCCGGTATGCTTGTGCTGATTACTATAAGATAAGTAAGTGAGAGAAGTCTGGATTGTAACAACAGCAGATTAAAGGTTAATGAAGAGTTCATTTATAGTACCGGTAACGAAAAGCCACCCTATCTTCATAGAAAGCAGAGCTATTCTTGTTTATGATATTCACGTTAAACGTGACTACCGTTTTAAATTCCCAGTTTAGAAATTGGTAACTTTTTAAAGCAGCATTTGCATGTTTATAAGATCTACGTACTCGCCAAATATAAAATATGGCGGTTATAAACTCGGCCATATTTAGCTCTTGGCGTCTACTTAGCATAATGTATCGGATTGTTATCAGGAACACGTTGCAATTTTTTTTTCCATCAAACAGAACTTTTATATTTCTAAGGGTGTAGTTTAGTCAGACAATTCAAACAAATCGAAACTTTTTTTCTTTTCTTACTTTTCTTTTAAATTACACCCTGCCCAGAAAGTATCGGAAATTCATCATTTAACTCTCCCTCTTCTATGGAAGACAGGTAAATTGTTTTCCTAGGTTGGTACAACTGACATAATCATAATTAATACGGATGTCTATAGCAGCTGTTTATGTCAGTCAACCTCAGCTCTCGCGTCGAGTTTTTTTTGATGTCTTCAATTAACCCAAAACACTTTTCCCCAAAGCGGTTCTTTGTGTTACAAGAATAACCAGAAGACACATGGAGCTAAATCAGGTGAATACGCTTGCTCAAGGATATTTGTTGAGTGTTTGGCCAAAATTTAACAAAAATACAATACAATTTTTTGTAAAATTCGACAAACATTACTGAGGTCGACTGACTTAAAGAAGTGCTGTAAGCATACTGGTTGACAGATCGCCCTAATTTTTATAATTTATATAATCATAATTAAGGACAGTTATGCTAACATTAAAAAAAAAAAAATGTACCTGTCTTCCATATAAGCGGGAGATGAGAGGGGGAAATGAAGAATTCCCGATATTTTCTTAAATTACTTTTCACTTGTATTTGGGTTTCTCTGTTAAGGCTCATTTTTAGATCGCCATTCATTAGATTGTTGAACAGTTCTTGAATTGTTGATCCCACCCTCTAATAGGTTTAATGTACATATCTTCTCACCACTACTGCTATAATAGCCAAATTTGCTTATTCTCATAACTATTACCAATAGGTGAAAATGGATGAAATCGGATGATAATTCCGACCCATCCGGTACTGTTGAAAACTAATAAAAGCGGGATGAATCAATAATTATATACGTCAGAGCAGCTAAAATTTACCTCCGAAATGGTAATTGGAAGGCTTTGTGGTAAGGGCGTAAAACTTGGACGTTAGGTGTGACACCGAACACTTTTTGGTGAAATCACATGTCCGACCAATTGCGACTAAATTTAGAACGTGACATTCTTCTCATATGCCCATATCGGTCAATGTGCGAGATATATAACTGAAATTCAGGGATTATGTTTTTCTGGCAATGGTATGTCTGTGTGTCAAAATTTGGTTGAATCGTGTCAATACTTTAAGGGAACACAACGATTTTCGAACTTCCAGACAACTTTATACCAACGGCCAATATGTGAGTTGTCTCAATGAAAATGAGAGAGCGTATTTTACTGATAACAGTGTATCTTTGAGCTAAAATGGATAAACTTGTGAGAAATCATTGACCTAGCCCCCCAACATCCGAGTGAATTTACTCGATATGATAGGCGATTGTAAGTAAGGTACCTTAGGGGAGGGGGTAAGGTGTTTGCGATTTATTTCTTAAATGTGGATTGAGTAATTTTTTTCGGACCTTTTGTACATTATTGGGCACACTTGTGACAATCTAGGGTAATTTTTTCATGCAGAAATATTGAAGCTTAAGCTGGTAACACAGTTTCTCCCAGAACGTCTTGAGAAAAACCACTTTGCGGTGTCAGCTGGATATTATCCGAAAATAAAAAACCAAGAAAAATTAGTCAAGTTATAATCAAATCTTCCCCCATCGTTATCTGATAATGTGCTTTTATATTTAAAAATTGTTGTCGTTCATTTGATGGGGTGGAGGTATTTTTTTATCAAAAATGTGTACAAAGTTTGAAACGAAACGGTCAAGTAGTTTTGAAATGACAGTGAACATGGACTTTGAAAAAGTAGTTTTGCGAAAAATGCATTTAAAGTTTATGAACTAAACAAGTGTCGAAAAAAATTACCATAAATTGTCTAAAGTGTGCTCAATAATTTACAGAAGGTCCGAATAAAATTACTCAATTCATATTTAAGAAATAAATTCGCAAAAAAAGTATTTTTGTTTTTACCTTAAAAACCTTAGCCCCTCCGTTAATGAACTTCAGGAAACAATTTATTAGTATTTGTCATATTAATAGAAGGTAGTATTGGCAACAATAGATAAAGTTTGATCGATACTGCTCTCAACTCCCATATAATAATTGGGTTTGGTGTAATGAAATGGTTAACAAAAAAAAAAAAATTATAATAAAAGAATCAGTTGCGAAAAAACGTTCGAAATTTGAGTATCTAAAACAGAATACGCCCTTAACGAAAATAATTAAAGTTCTATTAATTTAAACACTGAATACGTGAAATAAAAACTTACCAAAAATTTAAACCTACTTTCGGCTTCTCACTTAAACGTTTTGTCTAACAAGTCTATGTTACAAGCATCTGTATATACAGCTGCGAGCAGTGAAATAGTAGTGGGTGTTAGAGTTTTATATTTATTTTTAATTTTATGCAATATAATTAATTTTTTTATTTTATGCAAAACTATAAAAAATTTTAACATCAATTGAAATGGAAAAGTTTATCATATTTCCCTGGCTACGTTCATTAATAAAAATATTTTCATTTGAATGGGTGTAAGATATATTTATTCACAAAGTTGTGTTTATATATGAAATTTGATGGCAGCAGTAAATTTTTTTTTTTTTTTTTTTTAAACTGAAGGATTTTTGGAAGTTCCGTCTATACGAGATATTAGTACTTGGTAGCATGGCCATGATTTTTAATAACAGCAATACAACGCCTCTTCATAGAATCTACGAGACTCTGGCATCTATTTAGTGGTATGTTCTGCCATGCTTGCTCCACTACGTTCCACAACTCATTGTTGTTTTTGGGTTTGTCATTCCATACGGCTTTCTTAACGTCTGCCCAAAGGTTTTCAATGGGATTGAGGTCAGGGGATTGAGCTGGCCAGTCCATGACCTCAATTCCATTGACCCGAAACCACTCCTATGCCACCCTACTGGTATGTTTCGGGTCATTTTTCGGCTGAAATATCCTTTTCAACGGGATGTTCTCTTCAACAAATGGTATCATAATATACTGCATTATATCCACGAATTTGTGCCGATCCATTATGCTAGTAATCTTGTGAATTGGGACTGCACAAAAAAATTGGGCCTGTAAGAAAAACACACCAAACCATGAAATTCAAACCGCCAAGCTTCATAGTTTTGTGCTGAATCTGGGGTCGTACTCTCTACTAGGGGAGCGTCTTAGATACTGACCGGACCTTTTACCGCCGTATAGAATAAGTTTCGATACGTCTGTCCCCAAGATGTTGCGCCATTTCTCAATCGGCAAATTCTCAATCGGTCCTTTGGCAAATTTAAGGCAACTTGCTATAAGATTTTTTTTAATAACGGTACTTATCGAGGACTGCGGACATATAAATTATGTTCATGTAGAAGTCTTCCCACTGTATGAACACCGCAGGCCAGGTTCAGTGCATTCCGAATCTTCATAGCTGATATTCTAGGTCGAGTCTTGGCACATCTTACAACTATTGGTGTAAAATTCTCGGAAGGAATCCATATTGCGCCCCTTTTTTCGTCTTTTTTTTTATAAATAATTGCATTGTGAGTCGTTGTGGCTTAACACCCTACAATTCTTTTCACTCCCTTGTAGGATTTATCGTTGGTTATGACAGATTGAATACATTCTCGTTTTTCGTCACTGCAGTGCTTCCCGCGGCCCAAAAAAATGTGCAAACTCATATTTTTTTTTTTTGCTTTTTGCATTGAATAATTAATAAAAGATCTGGGAACTTACTTTTCGTTTGATAAAATAAAATTTTTTTTATTAAACATTGTCTGCTTGCAATCATCTCATCGTTCACTAGTATTCTATTGCTCGCTCATAAAAACAGATATCCCAATAAAATTGGCGTTAAAAACGTAACGGTAAGTAATTCACACTTATTGTTGTATATAACAGGACCGTTATACTTCAGAGAATATAACTAAAATAATGATCGACGGCAATATCATAAAAGAAACAAAATTTAAAGCARAACTCTCTTGGCCAATAGGCACTACTATTTCAATTCTCGCAACTGTATGTATACATATGTACATATATTGTCAAGAATAAATACTTACAGCGAACAGATGTTGCCATTTTATCAGCCGAAATCATCGGTAAACAAACCTGAACAGAAGCAACAAACAAGGCCACAATAGCAGCTTAGAAGCACTATGTGGAATCATTAAAAATACAGAAAAACTTGTTTGTTAACAAACAGATTGACCAATGTGTGTATGTAACTATGTATCGAGCTAACTAAGCACATCGATACGTCCGACATACACATGCACATACATCACCTACGAGCAACTGCTGCTCTTCGGCAATAATCTGTGCCAACATTTTCAGACAACAAAACCAGCAATGGAAGGACAGCAACCGACAGAGCGATGGAAGCAACAGCAACACAGCCGCTAACATAAATAGAAAATAAGTATACATGTATGTGTGTAGTATAAAGAATGTACCATGATGCGGACAGGCAACTGAACGAAAAGTCAATAAGTCAAATTGCTAACAATAGCAACAAAAGTGGTTAAGGCAACAACAGTTAGAGACAACAATGATCAATGCTACGGTTGACCGAAGACCAGTGGCAGCAACAAGCTCATATGAAACACCCACACATGCTTACGTAGCTACATACATATGTATGTTTGCATGCGCTTGAAGTTTGCAGGCAAACACACGACATATTTGCAAAATGTACATATGTCTGTCGCACATATCGTACATATGTATATGTATGGCTGTGTGCCTTCGTGTAAACACACTTGAACACTTGATCAGCCTGATTGGCCATATGTTGCCTGTTGCCCAAATTACCCGGCTGTCGTTGGCTGTTGGAGCAAAACTTTCTGCCAGCAAAAAATGGAAAAAGTTGAAAAAGCTAATAGAAATATAGGAAACTAATGGCTGCGTTGCTAACAACAAATTTTAGCGTTGAATTGTCTATGGATTTTTATTATTTCCTTTTCGGTTGTATTTGATTTATTTATGTTCGACCGCAAAAGCGGTTAAGACTCTCTGGCCAGACATGATATACACACAAGTACGTACATATATACACAACACATATGTACGTATTCACAGTATGAATTTAAATTAAAAATTTTCACTTATGTGCTGGCTGGTTGAGATTTTAAATAATTATTACAAAATATATTTATGACAGACTTATTCGTCAAATATATTTATATGGAAGTATAAATAGAAAGAACCCAACAACTAATCCATTGAATTTTTTGATTAAAATGAAGTATGATGATGAATACATAAAAAAAGAAAAGTAATGAATGAAAATAATGAATTTGATATTGATCGGCCAGTTTGAATTGCAACTATGATGTCCTACAAAAGTCCGATATCGGCTCTTCGGTCACATTAGCATCATCTTGGAGAAAACAGTCTGTATGCAAACCTTCCAATTAATATCTCGAAATCTGACGCACTAATACGCATATAGTATGGTACACATTCGAAGAGACAAAAACGACGAAATTGACTAAGCTTGTCACGCCAATTATTTATATATGTATATTACGGTGTTTTTTTTTTTTAACTATTAATTTTTTTCAGTCCCGTCACGATATTTTATTGCAAATACCGTAAAAAAATAGCCCTTAATATTAACATTAAGAACTGTACCAAGGTCTGTAAAATTTTTTCATAGAAAATACACTACAATCGTGAGTTTTTATCTTTAAATTCCTGTAGATCAGAGGTATTTTATGGCATAACCTTGACTTTAGACGCATATTTCTCATAATTGAACTCTACAAAAGTGCCCAGCGTAACAAAGTCGTAACTCACAGCGGCGAGGTAGTACGGGTCTCTAATCCCGATCTTTTCCAGCTATAGAAAAAATGTACATGACAAATTTGTAGGAAATTTTATTTGCTAGAAAAATGGTCTGAGGTCAAAATCGCTATCATTAATACTTCTCGAGATATTCAGCTTTTTAAATAAGGCTGTATGCAATTCGTCAATGGACTAATTTTCAACCCTATACTACATATTGCTCCGAATGTAAGTTATCTTAAAGATATTAAGTAGATATACTACTGTGAGCAGAAAATAGAGAAAAAATAGAAAATTGTAAGTAGGAGAACCTTCCCGTTACAATTAAGAACTCATTCTAGGAGAGGCTTCCTTAAAGGTTTCTAGGAACCGATTTTTCAGAGTACCAAAGGAAGAAATTTTTTTTTTGAATCACCCTAATGTACATATATCTATTCACTAAAAATATATCATTAGTTATATATTCTTTCGAGAGACAAAATTTTAAACAAAATACTTTACAAAAGTATAAATCTGAGTGGACAAAACTAAAGCAGCCCCTAATATTTGTTAGGAAAAACAGTACCACGCTACTGTAAAAGTACGTTATTTGTTGAAGACGTTATCAATAAACCGTTACAAATATTATTGAGAGATTTTGTAAAAAGATTTTTGACGTCGTCACTGTACAGTGGCGATTTAGAGTTTAAGGATCAAAATTGGTGGAAAATACTTATTCAGCCGACTTTACAAATAAAATAATAAGTGATTGGCAAACGACTTATTTCAACATAAAATTAGTTAAAAATATTCATTGAATAGATAAGTTGTGCCCCGATTAATAAATAAATTTCAGCAAACTGGAAATTTACCTTTACAGCTGAGGAAGACAGCAAAAAAACAACATAAAGAGAGCATTCATTGATCCAAAAGGTTACCCAAATTTATACTGTAAGTCTTCTCCAATCAAATACAGAAACACTTTTGTTTATTAATTAATGCACCAACAATTAGAAGACGAGCTGTTGAGGGCGGGTTGTTCTGTTGGCAACCCGTAAGAAAATCCTTTACTTCAGCAAAATGTTGAAAGGCCAAACTCATATTTGCGACAGCTCATCTCGATTGGAGCATTCAGAAATTGAATACCATTTTATTCTCAGACGAATCGAAATATAATATTAAGAAATCGAATGGCTTAAAATGTCTGAGAAGGCCGAGAGGACAAGGACTCAAACTGAAGTATTATATTGCGACCATTAAATATGGCGAATGTAATGTTATAGTCTAGAGCACTTTCTCTGGACACGGGACTGGACCTATTCATATAATAAATGGAATAAGGGACCGGTTTCGTTGCACCGACGTTTAAAAAAAAAAAAAGCTACCGTATGCTAAAAAGGATATGCCACTATAATGGTGGCTCCAGCAAGACAATGATCCTAAGCGTAACTCTAGGTATTGAAAAACTTGGTTGTGAAGTTACAGAGTTGATGTTTTAGATTTGCAGGCGTAATTACTCGATGTTAAATCTATTGAGAACTTATGGGAGATCGTTAATTCCAAAATAAATATGGAAAATTGTAAAACCAAGGATCAACCTTTAGAACGTGAAAAAATTGCTTGGTATATCACACCACATGATTTATAGTAAATAATTTAATTTCTTCTATGCCTAAAATATGCGTTTCAGTTACCCAAAATAAGGGATTTGCTACTATTTTTCTTAATTTTCAAATATTATTTTGAAATATTATTTTTAAACCGATGAAAGGGGTGTTTTAGTTTTGTCCAGTTAATTTTTAACCATAAATGTTTTTTGTTGTTTTAACTTTTTAATTTTGAAAACTGAAAATGAAAAGCTTTATTTTAATAAAAATTTATAAGCATTAGCGTTTTATTGTCTGAAAACTGCTAAGTTCGAGCTGAACCATAGTAGGGCGGCTTTAGTTTTGTCCAATACTGTATTTATAATAAATACATATATCTCAATGAAATTCGATAACCACTCCTGAACTCAATTAAGCAGTAATTATAAAATACTAATATTTTCGTTTTTATTTCCAGTTCACCCCTTGGTACAAGTTCCCAATCAACTGGTCGGTGCCCCCGTTTTAACCGATGTCACATTGGTCTGTAATGTGGAAGCATCACCGAAAGCAATCAACTATTGGCAAAGAGAAAATGGTAAGCAAACAAATTACAATAGAAAATGTTACAACAATGACAACAAAACAGAAAATGACAAAGAATCGTAAAGTGTAAACTTCCTAAAGCTGAAAACTCCAAACCCAAATGCACCAGCAGTAAAAAAAAAAGAGCAACCGTAAATCAAAATCCCCAAATAAATGCAAGAATTGCGAAAAAATTACAAGTTGGATTGCAAGCAACTTGACGCTAGAAACAATTTGCAGCTTATTGACTTCGTGCCATTGAATAAATGAAGTTGCAACGTGCTAGTTGTGCAGTACCGGCAACAACAAAATTGCGACAAGTGAGTGACTGCTTTCATGAACTTGCCACACTGACCGAGCGGTCTCTGCTGACGTCTGTCATGCTATTTTCTACGCGACAGTTCATTGTCACCCTAAAACAAGCTGCGCACGCAAAAACAGAAACCTAAAACCACTGAGGAACTGCAACAATGTTGTGCCGCGTTTTTTCATCTAATTTTTTTTTTCTTTTACGTTCACTGCTCTAATGAATGCGCCTTTAAAGTCTTTTTATGCCGCCTTGCTTGACTTTTGTTAAGGTCAGCATTTTTTCGCTGATTTGTCATGCGTTCGACTTTCCTGAATTCAACATATTTTTTCTGAGTTTCTTTTACTTCATTTGTTTTTAGGTGAAATGATTATCGCCGGCGATCGGTATGTGCTCACTGAGAAGGAAAATAATATGTATTCAATAGAGATGATTTTGCATATAAGACGCTTGCAAACCAGTGATTTCGGCGGCTACAAATGCATTTCGAAGAATAGTATTGGCGACACGGAAGGAACGATACGATTATACGGTGAGTATGAAATCAAAGGATTTGCATAAAAAACTATTATTTAGTAAATTATTAATATATTTTTCACCTTCTAAAAAAAATATGAACTAAGACTCGTATGGGCGGGCCACAACTGGATAATCGAATGGAGGGTGGTATCTTTTCAAGAAAATTAGATACACCGGAATCGCCTTGCGAGTACTAAACTACTACAGTGTTCTTTAAGCGGAGATCACAGCAATTAAAGAAATCCTTGTTATTCTGACAAAATGGGTGTTTTCACCAAGAAATATATTTAAATAGACAGAAAGACAATCGGCTTTGAAATCACTATAGTCTCTTGGGGTTTAATCGAATATAGCGAATGGAAGTCTTGATCAGTGAACCTAATATAATATTTCACGATAAACTTGCAATTAGCTAAAGGACATAGAGATAGTCCTGCTAACCGTCAAGCAGATTAATAAGCCAGTACAAGCATCAACCCAGAATAAAACTCTGACAAAGAGGGAATATATATATACATATGTCTCTGGCATCTTGTGGCCGTTTAATAGATAAATATCTATTTGGTATAGCTGAGCCTCGCTGTAGATAATCCAAGACTGTTTCAACCAGCAAACAATCGTGACATCTATGGAATATGGGCCGCACATGTTGGCTATTAAAATTCAAAATGAATGATACAACCTTAATAGGAGTGCTATCAGGTCATTGTAATATTGGCACATTTGTCAGCAGACTGGAGATGTCGGTAAAATAAGAACGATCCTTGATGCAAGTATGTAGGATTTGACAGGGTCGTAAGAGGGAGGATATCAATTCTCTTCGCGTCGGTGACACTCTGTTAACGTCGTGGAGAGAGTGTGTGAGGGTTCTGTTAGACGCGTTCTTTCCTATGTCACAGGTGCAGGTCCTCAAGAGGGACCTGTCCTTCAAGTTGGGGTGCGCATTTGGCCTGGTTAGGACTATACGGTCCACAGGTTTTGATGGTTTTAACGTGCAAAATCTTGTGGATTTTCATTCCGGAATACCTAAAGGCAGTTGGGGTGCGCATTTGGCCTGGTTAGGACTATACGGTCCACAGGTTTTGATGGTTTTAACGTGCAAAATCTTGTGAATTTTCATTCCGGAATACCTAAACTCATTTGTAATAAGTGCGTCTGGAAGGGATATTTTCCACATGGGAGGAAAAGTGCTCTGAAATCTGCTAATAAAATCAGTAGCGGTCCTCGTTTTTATCGATATCAATCTTGGAAAAGTGCTGGAAATAGTTATGGTAGAAAGGCTTCAGGAAGTAATGCCAGGACGCATTATAGAGAATACATGGTTTTATGTTCAGAATGTTGTTAGGGAGAACGTCAAGAATTATGCATGTCTTTAGCATATTTCTGGGTTTGAGTGTGCCATTGCTGCGAAATGATTAGATTTCCGATGATGCCTTGCAGAGGAAGGGAAATCTAGGGAGCAAGAGGCTTTTAGATGATAGTAGAGTTAGGTGTAAGTGGTAATACCGTTGGGACAATAGCTCTTAGGTTTGTCGAAGGCAACCCAGACTTAAGATTCTGTCTTAGTCTCAGTTTTCTGCTTACGGTTCATGGGCATCTGAATGCACTTTTTTAACTTTGTGAAAAGGAAATGGCTATTATATATGACATTAATTATATAATTATGTACTTTAATCGATCTACAAAATCTCAACATCCATACAACTATATTTATTATTTTAATAGAAATGGAAAGACCTGGCAAGAAAAATCAAAGAGAAGACGATAATGAAGTCACGGTAAGTACAATTCTCAGTTATATATTTGATAAATTGTTCGATTAAATATTATATTCTTGATGAATGTCATGGGGAAGAGCATACTAAAATTTTAAGTAAACAGTAAAAATTATCGATAATATTTTCTATTTACGAAAACAATTATTACGAGCGCAACTAAGTTCCAGCTGTTTGTCAATAGATGGCGCCAGCATTTAGTCCATTTTCCGAGTCCATTTTTCGATTTTGATTTATTCAAAACGCTATAAACTTAACCAAGTCATTTGAAAAAAGACTGCATTTCCTTTACTGCAATGACTTTGTTTATATGTCATAAGCTTTTGGTTATGCAAATAAGACCGATTTTTGGCTAAATAATCATCGTTTTGCGGGAAGTGTTTATGTAGTTAAGGAAATCGGCGGCTGAAGTACATTGGGAACTCTAACTTGCTGCCGCAGGTGAAACAACGTGGCGTGATTGGTTTCGTTGCTGCAAAAACAGCGATTCCGATATAAGTCACGGTCCGCATAAAGGATGAAGACCGTCAATCGAAGACGTACGTTGGTCCAAGAGAATCCGTGTCAATCCCAAGAAGAGCTTGTTTTAGCATTGGGAGCCACCCACCAAACCATTTCAAAGCGATTACATGCGCAAGGAGTAATTCAGAAGCAAGGAACTTGAGCTCCTTTTGAGTTGAAACCAAGGGACGTTGAGCAATTGCTTCGATGGCAAAAAGAAGGGTATTCATTAGAGCAATCAAAAAAAAAGCCGTGTCCAGCCGAGCCGACCGGAGCACTGCACGAAAAGCGGCGGTGCCACACAACGCTCGGCCTCTCGTTGCCAAACCCGCTAAAACCTACTCTAAACGCTTAGACGAGAAGAACTGCCTCACCGCCTACATTTCATAAATATTGCACTGTGGGATTATTATTTGTTCCATTCGGTGACATCGAAAAATTGATTTACTCTTGTATAGCTTTGCCAGAAAGAATGGGAAAAAGGAAAAATAGCGATGAGCAATAAAATTGTATTTTTATTAGACAAAGGAAGAGGTAGAACTTAGTGTCGCACCATATACATAATACTATTATTTTCTACAGTTGGAAATCAATTAAGAATTAATTAAGAATTAGATTACTAATTACTAAGATGAATTATCGTTCAAGAAGGGAGTTTGCTCGTGATTTTGACAAGAAAACTTAGTGACATTATTCTATAAGGATTTTCGCCTACTGTAAGACCGCAACTAAAAATATTATTTATCTACTTCACAGAAAAATGACGCGTCACTGAAAGATAATCGTCACGAGGATGGTTCGCGTAATCAAAATGGACGCCTCTACAAGGAGCGCGGCAGCGATGCGGAGCTGCAAAGTGGCGGCCAAACGCTCAGTCGGCGATGGAGTACACAGTATTTGCTGGCACTAACTCTATTCGTGTCACTAGCAACAAGTGCAACGACAACAACAATAACTACTAAAGCAGTTACAATGGTAAGCAGACGAAGTCTGAATAATTTATAGCTCAAAAATTGAAAGTAAGCCCAAMAAAACACATACATACATACGTACGAATGAAACCAAAAACAAAACCAAATGCGTAGCAAGGAAATATAAAGTACACGAACAAGCAGAACAGCAGGCATAAATATAGTTAAAATAACGACTCAATAAATAAATGTAATAAATAAATTAAATTAAATTATAGAAATATGCAGAAGAAATATGGAATTATAGCGGTATTGGCGTAAAGCAAACCAAAAAAATAACTGAGTTAAATGTTACCTCTCTAGCGAAATGTGTTTCTATGACAATGACTGTTGACTGTATTTTTTAGCAGCTGACGTACATATACATATGTAATTAGCGAAGAGTTGCTTGGCGGCCTTTGAAGTTAAACAACCCAGCAAACTTTAAAGTGAATTATATTGTAGTTTAGCTACGGAATAGAAAAGSAAACAAAGAAAAATAAATTAACAAAATGCTTTGCATAAGTATTTGTATTAGTTTGCAAACATACATAAATATCAATGTGTAGATAAATTTTGCAGTACATATATAGAAATGTATGAATGCTAGATATGAAATAACCGTCAGCCAAATGCAGTATTACGAGCATTTTGTTGCAACAGAAAACAAAAACAAAAAGGATGAGAGTTATAGTATACTTATGATTTAGGTGTAAAGAGAAAATGCTTATAAAGTAGTAACCACGCATCTTCTGTTATTGTAAATACTTTAAGTCTAGGCAAGATACACTGTATATATGTTTGCACTGTTATCCAAAGCAAGTTCATACCGAGTATAATAAGCAAGTTAAGTTAGTTTAATCAAAAATTTAAATGGTTAAGTGTTTAATCAAAAACTAATCTAAAAAATAGATTTATTTAAAATAAAAAGTTACGACATAGACGATGCTTATCCAACTGGGAATTGTCATGCTTCATAAGAATATTTTAGGACTTCTGTCTTTTTTGTCAATTCCAATTAAGGTATCTAACTATTGGATTAATCAAAGATAATACTTAGTTAAGGCGTTTGAATTTCAAAAATATATATGTATATATTTTTTTTTTTTTGCCTGGGAATTATTTGCAAGGAGAAGCTTTAGCCTTAGTCTACATATTTTCCTGTCACTTTTTTCGATGAGGGCTGTCGCACTCCATACTTTAACAAATCCACACCTGTTGGAAGCTTATCATGTGCGGCACAATCTTTTCAGGAACTAGCTGCTCTCCTAAAAGTTTCTCTAGTTCATCTCTTTTGTCTTTATAATGTGGGCACACAAAGAAAATCTGCCACGCGTTCTCACTACAGTTTCTACAAAAAAAAAAAGCAGTCAAACGTACCCAGTCAGGAACTATGTCAATTAATAGTCAGTTTCACCGTGGTTTCTCTTTACCCATAATTGCCAGTTTGTGATTAGCGTGTGTCGAACATCGAACATTACCACCGCGCAGTTTCTTTCAAACCATCTGATTCCTGCAATGACCTTGCTTGCGACTTCCATACCAACCATATTGATTTTCAGCAAAGTCTGGTGATTCTCTTTTTAGGTATTTTGCCTATGGTAACCAGCATGCATAAAGGTCTGTAGGAGCTTTTCTCCTCTGCTGGTTTATTTGGATTTTGTATTAGCACTAGCCGCTGTTCTTTCCAATTTCTATTTCACTCCATCTCATAAGCATTGCGTATAAAGTTCCGTAAACTGGCAAACTTGTGTTTAGTTTTAAAGATAGCATGAGTTATTGAGAACAAAGATCAAATTCTAAAAATCAATCGTCATTTTCGCCATGCCCTATCGTGTAGAGGAATACCGAACGAGAGATAAGACGGCATTAACATAGTTTAGCGAATCAAAAGGCAGTGGCTGCGCTGGCCAGCTTATGTTGTCCGAATGGAAGAGGATACTTCAGCTGTGAAGGTTTTCGAATTCAGTACCGGTGAAAGCAGAGTAAGACCTCCACTCTGGTAAAGAGATCAATGAGAGAAGAACCAGGTTGAAATTGGTATCTCGAATTGGGGAAATTAGCGAAAAGAATAAAAAATAACGCGCTGTTGTTAACTCGGCTATAATCATGTCAGCGGTGTCTACTCCAGTAAAGAAAAATTGTCCGACATTTTCTTCTTGATTTTGGATTTCAGATATTTTAATCAGAAAATTTTTGCAATCCGTTAGAGACATTTTTTCGAAGATCCTCCTGGATAGCAGCTAAAGGTGAAGGAATCCAGGAGTTTTCACATTCATATTAAATCGCCGATTATTAAATTTAGGTTACCTTATTAAAAGCTTGCAATGTACAGACTAATATATTGATCCTTTGTAATGCTAGAAGGAGAAGTATTCGTCGAACAGGACGTCAATGCTTTTTGCGAACTGCAAAAGATGCTAGATGTCTGAGATGAGTTCCTTGTAGAGAAGAAGCAAAGGAGGTGTTCTAGCCTCTACCCCATACCCACTTTCCTGCATCTTCTACAGTCTTTTCGAGACCATGTGAGATTGTTATTTTAATAGCCGCTTAGCTATCGACGGATATATGGTGTTGTTATTCTAGGAAATAATTTGATTACTACGATAGGTTTACAATTGAGAATTAATGCTCCAGCGAGATCTTGATAGAACAAGGCTCAGTTACTCCTACAAAATACCTTCCGTCAAGATGAGCATTGTGCGCAAACCACTTTGGTTGGATTTTTTCTAAGAATAATATAGAATTACGGTACAGTTGAGTTGAACAACATTAACGACCGACAAATTGTAATCAAGTTTCGTCACGTATGAAACAAGCAAAATCAAATCCGTCAAGTAAACAAAATAATAGAGGTTTGACGGGATTTTTATAAGGATCATTTCATGTAACCCTAATCTTTTCATCTTGAATTCGTGTTCTTGCTTATATGGTATATAAAATAGATATAGGATAGATAGATCATAAACCCGAACAATAAGATACTTATTTTCAAATTCATTCTTGTTTTGACTGCAGCACACTTATTTTACCCTAAGGAATCCAAATACTAATTTAGCGCATGACATTTAATTTCTAGTTGGATAAAATGCGTTACAAAGATACAAATAGATGTATGTATATTTAAGAAATATATATAAATATGCATTAATTTATAAACATTAAATGCTAAATCAAAAACCAACAGCATAACCAAAAACCTTAGCAACGACGAATATATACATACGTAAATGTAAATGTTATAAGAGTATTTAGGCAAGAATTAAATATAATTGTAAATCCGTATAGCAAATATTCAATAAGTAAATAAATAATATAGAAAATAATAAAAAAAAATCTACAAAATGTGCCAAATCGAAATAAGTAAAATATGTAAGTTGAAGCTCATAGGGCATAACTCAAATACTCTCGGCAGCATTTGTGTTTCTGTGTGTTCTGTGACCATCGGATTATCAAAATATATATTATATAATAAATTAAGTTAGACAAACGAGAAATTCTAAAGTCGTACATACTTTATAATTTTAATTGCAGCTTTCTTTGAATAAATTTTTAGACAGCAATATGTTTGTATTTGTAATCTTTTAGTTCAGAAAATTGGCAATATTCGAAAAAGCTGATCTCAAATTGGCAAAAGGGAAAAAAAAGTTGCATTTATTCCATATAACAAATTCTTTAACAATATAGAGTTATATACATATATACATATATATATAAATGATCAGGATGACTAGACGAACTGAAAATTGGATAACTTTCTGCCTGCCTGTCTGTCCGTGGAAGCTGTAACTTAGTATGAGCGTTCCTTGGCAAAAAAGCAAGGATAATAAGCATTGGGAAACCAATGCATTGTCTAAATGACGATCTCGACAGAAGTATAGTAAAGAAAATAAAAACCCGATGGAACGAGGTACCTGGGTGAAAAACTGCAAAAGTCATGTGCAAAATGGTAGATCAAAAGTATACAGATTTCTATTGGCACTCAATAGAAGGGACTGTAGGAACATAATGGCAATACTAACTGGTCACTGTCTGGTGTCGACACACGCCCGCAGGATGGGGCTGACAGATCGAGAATACTGCAGGAAATACCAAGGAGGAAGCTGGACACCAGAGAAACAATAGAAATGGAAACAATCTTGTGCACTTGTCCCGCATTGGCAAGATTACGCTGTAAGCAGCTGGGGTCCTCACGGTATGATACACTGCAGGAGGTATTGATAGTGATGCCGTAGATTCTGTTAAAATTGGCGTGAAGCGCAGGCATTCTAAAGGATGACTTCTTCTCATGGACCAAAATTAATCTATACGTGGATTATTGTCCTTCCCGAGTAACCTAACCTAACCCAACATATCTCGGGACTTTCTCGACAGATTTCAACCAAATTAAGTAGACGACATTACTTTAATGTTCCTAAGTCACAGTGTGAATATTTGCGCGACCAGACTACATCCACGCCTACTTTCCATAAAACACAATTTTTAATTACTTTTGATTCTTTTGCTTTCCGATGTGCAAATAGAAAACTAATCAGTATGACGCGATAAAAGTTTGCACCTTACTATTGCCTTTAAAGTATGTCACCTTACGACCAGAAATTGTCCAACTCGAATCAAAATTATTCAACCCCCTATGTGCGGAGTACGCGGACCACAGCACCTGTAGTTGACTTTCGGCAAACAATATCGGTCAATGAATGAGTTGTTTAACTGAAATTCAAAAAAAAAAAATCTTTCCTGTTAATAGTATGGTACGCTTTTGTTTCATTAGTAACGTTGAAAGAGTGTGTTTTACTCATAATAATGTATCTGACACAAAAGAATAAAACTGAGCGAAAACATAACTTATCCCCATATAACTATTATCAAAACTTTCAAACACGCGGCTGACTTTACTTCTTATGATTAATTATTGTATGTGAAGAAATTTGATTAAAAATTGGGCACATTCCATTAGTGCGTGGTGTATGTATTCTTTGTATAAAGTGCGCTCCAAAGTATACAGCACTCTTTGAATCTAGCGAC